TTGCCACTGTGGCCCCGAGACTGTGGAACTCTCCTTCATACATTAAGAACCATGGACTCGGTAGTTGTTTTTAAAAAACAACTCAAAACTCACCTTTTTAAAACTGTTTTTGGTTAAATTTCTGCCTGTTTTATATTGTCTGGTTTACCCTTTGATTATTTGTTATCTTAAGTGCAGCACTTTGTGATTCTGTCTAGAAAGGTGCTATACAAATAAGATATATTTTTTACTTATTTATTATTTAAACGTCAGATATTTTAAATTTAGCTGTTTTTTGTTTGGTTCATCTCATTTTGAGTTAGGCACCATTTTGCAGCTTCTTATATTCTCTATATTATTTTACAAGTAGCTTGAAACAAAAGAGGAAGCCCATTCATGGTATGCATAAACTATTTTATTTACAAGAGGTGAAAACAGGTCAGTATATCAGTGGTGACATATAATTTGATGAGTAGTAGGAGTAGGAGGAGGGAACTGATCAATAATTTCTACTCTGGCTCTTACCAGTCGTATCTGCCCCTGTCCAACCATCTCACTCAAGTCACTGTGGCCTAAGCACACTCACATTTTGGCAAGGTTCACTATAAGTTCACTTCTACACCACAGTTTTTTTTATTGAAAAACTGTTACAATACACAACACAGGGGTCGGTGCATTGGTGGTTCTTGGTGTCCGGGGCTGGGCGCTCAGGTATGTACCAGCTCACTCCCGGTGGCTACTTGGCGGGGCCTGGCGCCTGTTGCTCGGTCAGGCCTCTTCCGTGGCGCGGGGGGCCCTCGGGCCTCCGGCCTCTGGGCCTGCGGCTCGGTCCACTCTGGCAGGCCGGTGCAGGCCCCTCTAGCTTCTGCTCGGTGGCTACTGGGTGACCCCTCGTCTGGGGATCCTCAGCCCTTCCCATGAGGGTGGCACGGATGCCCTCCGGTGGTCCTCCTTGGGCTCTCGCACTCTGGGGCCTCTGGATGTCTGGGGCCTGGATCTCCTCCATGCCTGCTTCATGCCCTGGGGGACAGGGCTATGGCTCTCTACATCCTCTTGCAGACCATTACATGTGGAAACCATTTGAATACAAGCGCGCTGATCCACACAGGTGTGCACAGGATGTTCACTGTTCGTAGACTTAAATTACACCTTTCTTGGCTGCTACTTCAAAGCACATTGTGCGCTGTCTGTCCTGCGTGCTGCACAACAAATTCAATATTTAGTATTTACTGCTGTTGATGTCACACAGTGGAAAATTGTGTTTTTATATTTTGTTTTGGATCAGACTGTGTTGGTACAGGGTGTCGATTTTATTTGCATGATTTTATTGTAATAGTGATATTGCATGTTTGTTTATTGATATTCCTATTGCATGATTTTATCTCCATATTTATAGTGTGTGTTTAGTGTTGATTGAACAATATGTTTTTTATTATTCCACTGTGGATTAAGCGGACAATTGTAGGCACCTGTGAGGTGGGGGCGTTCCCCGAGGTGGCCTATCAGCCACCAAACTGACTTAAGGGAGATAATGAGCGCAAAGACTAAAAAGAGAGAGAGACACACGAAAAGTGGAGAGCTGGAAAACAAAACGTGTGCAAGCCAGCATATGAGAAGAAGGACCTCTGGCCTGACTGTGGGGCGCCACGAGACATTCGGCGATCGGCCAGCATAACCCGGCGATCCAGTCCCGACGGACAGAATAGCGACCGTGGGAGGCGACGCGTGAAATCCACAGTACGCCTCTGCCTGCATCTGGCGGAGCTACGAGGGAGGCCGTGCGCGGAGGTGGAGAGTGGCTGGACTGCACGATTGCGCACAGTCAGGTGGAGATAGGAGCCTCCTCCCTGGTCTTCTGCTGGCGAGAGTCCACATCCCGGAAGAGGAGTTCCTCTCCTGTCTCTCTCAGCTCAGGAGAATCTGCCCGTGTGTTGCTGGACTGGGAGAATTAGGACCCTGGGGGGGGGAGTTTTTAGTATAGGGAAAAACATTTATTTAGCTTTGTATTTTTAGCGTTTAATCATTCCTGCCGGCAGGGTTTTTAGCGGGTTGTAAACACTATTTTTATTGTGTACGGGGATTTTAGCTTGTATTTGGGGTTCTGACTGTGTTTTATCCTGAAAATAAATGGTGTGTTTGAAGCCAGCTAAGTTTCTGTGCTCTGAGCGCTGACCCACTCACTCCCCTTTCTGCTTGTATAGGCGTGGTGGTGAAGATTTAGTTCCACCAGTTTAGCGGCTACATTTACACTTAGCTAGATTAATGCAATGGTGTTGTGTTTAGTATGTTGCTTTGTTTTGTTTTTTTTGCTTGTTTTCTATTCTTTTTCTCTCAACAGGTGATCCAGGAGATTTTTTTTTTTCCCCTTTCTCACTGTCCCTCTCCCCTTCTGTTTTTCTTTTCCTTCCTCTTTCTTTCTCCCTTTCCTATCCCTCACTCATGTCTGTCCCGTCTGTAACAATTGAAAATAAAATAAAATAAATAATAAAAACAAAGGTCGATCAAATGGACCAATACGGCAATGCCCTGATCATCCATTTGGCAAAATAAATCCATTGGGTATCCTTGTTGGTCTTCAGACAACAATTCTGACGGCTAAAGAACCAAATGGGACAGGCAAAAAACAAAAAAACAAAAACAAATAACCACCTCCCACCGTAAAGGTGCGAGGTGCTTGTGTTGCATTGGTTACCCCCCTTGGTTACAAAAGACAAGGCACTATGTGTGTGTGTGTGTGCACGTGTGTGTGTGTGTCATGGGGGTGCGTTTGTGTGACCTCCTGCTCACAACTGTTTTTAACAATATCCTTGGTCATAAAGAGGGTAATCTCCCCCACACCGAATATATGGCTCAATTCCTGTATTGGTTCACCATGCACAACACAAGTCTGTGACCTGCCACAGAGAAGGCTCTGTCGCCACAAGAATGAAGTAGTCCGTGGAATTGACAACATGAGTTTTGAACTGGACCTCATGGTTTTCTCTAGAGCAAAAATAATTAGGAGCTCAGACAGGTAAGAAGGGGCTTGGCTGGTAAGTGCCTTAAAAACAAAAAAGTAAGAGTTTAAATTGGATCCTGTAAGGAACAGTGACCCAGTGTAAAGAGGCTGGGGTTATATGCTCCTTCCATTTAGTGCCAGTTAGTTCTGAAATTTCAAGTTATTTTCTCGAAATTTTGAGATAAGTAACACGGAATTTTGAGTTAGTGCTGCCAATCGGTAATCTACGTGGTAATCTACGTGAATGATGTCATTTCCTTGTTACCCGGAAGCTGAAGCCCTCAGCTACAAATGACATGGCTAAGCTACCAGTATTACAGCCAGTCATGAATGCACAAATTGCTGAGTATTTTCAGTGTGGCTTCAGAAATGCTGAAATCCTTGTGTTATTAGCCGAATCACATGGCATTACTATCGGCAAACATACTCTCGAAAGCACCAATTTGTTGCGATCCGGTTTTGAGTGGGCATTCCTCTGTGCCATATCCTTCCAGGTAACAACAAAATGACATCGTTCATGTAGATTGCTAATTGGCAGAGCTAACTCAAATTTTTTAACTACTTTTCTCAAAAATTTGAATTACGGCCCTGGTCATAATGTCTCTTGGTGGCTGTTTCTTGTTCTGTCTGTGTCTTTAAGTCCCTGCAGGTCCCTGATTGGATAAGCTGACGGCTGCTGATTGGTCCCCTGATCATGGTTGCTTTAAAAATCCCTCACCAGCAGTTGTTCGGGGCAGCAAGTGACAGCAGCATAGACCTGACCCTGGCCTCCAAACTTTGTGATATTTGTGACTCTCGTGACTTACTGAGCTTTGTACATAGTATGTACAATAGTTTTCACTTGTAAATAGCACATTGTAAATAGCACTGAAACAGAAGGGGTGAGCTGCCTTATTATTTTCCTTGTACTATTTTCTCCTGTTTATTTCAGTTAGGGAGTTAGGTGTAGCGTTTGTCTTTTGTTTGGTTTTTGTTTCACATAGGGTTTTAGATAGCACCTCCTCACCTGACTTAGCTTGTTTTGTTTGTTATTTTAGCCTTTGTTCACCCCGGAGCTTCATTTTCAGTGTAGAAAAATAAAGCACCGTTCACTAAGAAATTGTGTTTTCTGTGTATGGTTTTGGGGCCCAGGGCGGGTTCACTTCCTTTTTTAACTCTTATGTTACGTTCCTGTACCCCTAGACTGGGACGTAACAATGTGTCTGTGAAGGTTCTCAGTCATCCAGGTCATCGTAGTCAAAGGAGCTTGCAAAGAAAAGCGTCTGGACTTCTTTAAGTTGCTTGAAGACGTTTCACCTCTCATCCGAGAAGCTTCTTCAGTTCTAAGGTCAAATGGTGAAGAGTCCCAGATATAAACCTAGTGGGAGTATCCCCCCCACAGAGGGACAAAAGGACCCCCTGGGACGTAACAATGAAATCGTTGTGTTATTAGCCGAATCACATGGCATTACTATCGGCAAACATAGAAAGTGCCAATTTGTTGCGATCCGGTTTTGAGTAGGCATTCCTCTGTGCCATATCCTTCCAGGTAACAACAAAATGTCGTTCATGTAGATTGCTAATTGGCAGAGCCAACTCAAATTTTTTAATTACTTTTCTCAAAATTTTGAGTTAATAAGTCGAAATTTCGAGTAAATAACTCAAAATTTCAAGTTATGGATACTTTTTTTGTGTGGTGGAAAAGAGCTTCCATAATCTTTACCTTACAATATAAACCTTGAAGGGTTTGTTAGTGTCATTTGGTCCTGTATAAATAAAATTGAACTTTATGATGCTATGATCTTTTCTGATTAATGTATTGGGTTTTCTGCTTGTTGGCTTGAACATCATACCAGGGCCTTCTGAATATTTGGATGAACTTCTGTCTTGGTAAGTTTTTATTTTCAGTTTTATTTGCATTTTTAAATAGTTAGTTTTCTCATTGGAATCATGTAAGGCTACATTTATGAACAAGGAACTACATTCCTGGACAAGCCCTGTTTTTCATTGAATACATTTTAATAATCAGACTAGCTGTACTTACGTTGGCCAGCCCTCCCCGGTCGAGACAGTGAAGAGGGTCAAAAAAGCCCACAGCACATTGTCATAATGGAACTCATACTTTTTCCACTCTCTGGGCATGGCGGCCACCTCGTCTTTGTCATAATCTAGGAATTGTCCTCTGTAAGAAATAAAGCAAGTGGAGACAGGCACACAATAAGTAGCATTTGAAAGTTTAGTTACTTAAGCTCTGAAATATGAAGTGGGGCTGTGGGGATTTTTTTAGACCAACTTGCAGTCTTTCTCCAGGCCTTTGGACTCATCAGTGCAATAAAAGAATTTCCCCTTGAAGAGCTGAACTGCGATGACGGCAAAGATAAACATGAAGAGGATGTAAACAATGAGGATGTTCAGCACATTCTTCAGAGAGTTAACCACACAGTCAAACACCGCCTGAGGACACAAACAGATTTTAAATTTTAAATGAAGAACATTACACAAAATTTGTAAATATGATTTAATGCTGGTCGTTTTGTTACTATGCTGCTTTCTTAACTAGAGCTGTCTACAAAATGACTACTAATTAACTGCTACAGTGCTCAGCATAAATGAGTACACCCCACTACGTTTGTCAGAAAACCTTTAGTTTCTTTTCTATGAGATACTACTACAAAATATTCCCACAAATGTGGGCCATTGATTGCAAACAAGATTTGTTTATTTGTGCACACAAAAAAGTGATTTTCCTAACAAATTCATTCAAGCCCATGTCGCAAAAATGAGTACACCCCAATTAGGAGAAAAGCCACGCTTAAGACTTCAAAATTCGAATTAACAGGCATTCAAGCACAGGTGAGTCTAATGATTCATTTAAGAGATGTCCAGCAGACAGGTGACTATAAAAGGACATTAATTAACAAAGAAAAGCCCTTCCTGTCATGTTTCGGCTGTGTGCCGGCAGGAATTGGACCCAAACGCAAACTCACTGGAGACAGGACTGAACTCAAAATGGCAGCTTGTATTGCTGAACACAAAAACTCTACAAAATCTAAACTAAGAAGACTCTATCAAAACACACAGGGAGCTACAAGTAGAAACACACAGTCATGAGGGACAACTCGACACTGACTCAGAGAAACACAGGGTTTAAATACACTGGGAAGTAACGAGGGGAATGAGACACAGAAGGAGGGCACAGTTGGGAGAAATCAGGACTGACGAGACAAGCAAAGCAGGACACATTCACATAAGACACGGACCATCAAAGTAAAACAGGAAGTATCACACAGAGACGCGAACTTGACACAGTGGAGACAGCAACTAAGAAACACAGAGACATAAACCATAAGGCAGAGGTCTAAGAAGACCAACCATGAGAACATAATGCAGAGTGACAGAAAACAAGAAAACTCAAACATGCAAAGACACACAATTACACAGAACAGAGGGGACACAGAGAGACATGAAGGGCAAGGGATCAAAACTAGAAGCCATAGAATAAATCACACACAAGTACAATAATACAAAAATCACAAAGAACTAAAAACGCTGGGTCAGGAGACCCAGGACCGTGACACTTCCCATTTCATGCTGTCAGCAATGGCTCCACATGGAAGAGAAATGTCACAAAATCTGAGAAAGGAAATAATTTCTTTACACAAAAAAGGTGAGGGCTACAATAAGATAAGGAGCGTCTTCTGATGCGCACACTTCAGAGGAATGGCATGCATGGGTATCGTCCATGAAGAAAGCCTCTCCTAAAGTCCATGCACAAAAAAGCACGCCTAGAATTTGCTATGGCCCATGCTGAAAAAGATGAAGACTACTAGGACTCTATAATCTGGAGTGATGAGACAAAGATCACTGTTTTTGGAACTAATGGTTTCAAAACTGTATGGCGTGGTAAAGGTGAGGATTTCAAAAAGAAATGCATGGTGCCTATAGTGAAACATGGTGGTGGCAGTAGTGATGGGATTTCCGGCTCTTTTTAGAGAACCGGCTCTTTCGGTTCGGCTCACTAAAAAGAGCCGGCTCTTTCGGCTCCGAACCGGCTCTTCAGGTTGTTTTGTTGCTTTAATTAATTAATTATTAACAATAATATAAAATTATGCACAAAAGGAATTACTAATGTAAAATAAAAAAGTGGTTTTATTTATATATTTTTATATATAAATATATGCGGTGGCCCCTAGAGATGAAACATGTACAAACTCCAAAACACATTTCTAGCATGAACTGAACTTCCAAAACAGAGCTACCTAGATCACTTAAATTACACAATTGAAAGCATGTGTGTATTGTTTGTGTATTTATACACAAGCACTCATATATATTCAAATAATTTAAAAAAATGTTCATTTACCTGTTATTACCACACACCAAATCCGGTCGTTGGTACTTCCTGGCTTGTGTAGCCACTAGGTAACAAAAGCTCAACATTGCACCTAGCATCCTGGAGCACTTCTGTTGTCTTTTGTATGTGCTTTAGAGTTCATACCTGTTTTGAAGTTTGTACATGCTTTGCCTGTAGGGGCCACCGTAAATATACTTTTATTTATTCACTCCACAGAAAATGTAATAAATAAATCATATAATACAAAAATCAACTATTCACATTTCAACTTTTAACAATTTAAATTTTCAGCTTTTTCCTTTTACAAATTTAAAGTGAAACAACACAAAACACTGCAAACCACAACACAATTAAATATAAATTAAAATATGAAAACAAAAAGAACATGCATATTCTCTGTCATATGGACCTGCATGAATAAACTTTCTGAATCCTTTGTCATCTGCAACTGAAAATAGTTGTGGATGATTACTATACCTTTCTAATGTGACGTTGTTGTCCCTGGCTCTTTCTCCTTCTCTCCCTCCCGGTCTGTTCCTGTGCTACTGAGTGTAACTACCGCCCCTCCCCCCTCATCCCAGCGTAAAGCACAAGGCTCGCATGCGGAGTGAAGCGGAAAAAAGAGAAAGAAAAAACCCCCCACAGTTCACGATAAGGAGCCGGCTCGCGTTGTTCACATCAAAGATCCGGCTCGTTCACATCAAAGATCCGGCTCTAAGAGCCATTTCGTTCGCGACCGACAGGTGGCAGTGTCCTTATGTGGGGCTGCATGAGTGCTACTGGTGTTGGGGAGCTGCATTTCATTGATGGTATCATGAACTTAATGTTGTGTACTGCTTTATAATGAAGGAGAAGATGCTGCCATCACTGCGTGCACTTGGTTGTTGTGCACTTTTCCAACACGACAATGATCCAAAACACACATCTAAAGCTACTGTTGCATTTCTGAAGAAGAACAGGGTGAAGGTGATAGACTGGTCAAGTATGTCTCCTAATCTGAACCCAATCGAACACCTGTGGGGTATTCTGAAGCGACAAGTTGAGCATCACTCTCCGTGCAGCATCCAGGCTCTAAAAGAGGTTATTCTCGAAGAATGGAAAAAGATAGATGTTGCAATATGTTGCCAACTTGTTCATACCATGCCTAGAAGACTTGTGCTGTCCCTGAAAATCACAGTGGCAATACAAAATACCAGATGTAGTAGTTTTTGTTGCAGGGTGTATTCATTTTTGCTTCAACCAATTTGAGTAAAACTGAAGATTTTGTGATCTAAGTTATATTATTAACCTTATTTTCATGTTATGGAGTGTTGACTAAAACTCAGCTTTGTGAAAATTTGGGAAAGTGTTTTTTTGTTCATTGAGCTACTGATTAAATTTGTACTTTTTAAAAGGGGTGTACTCAAGTCCTAGAATTGAACCTCAAATTCAAATTTTATTTGTCACGTACACAGTCATACACAGTACGATATGCAGTGAAATGCTTAGACAACTGCTCGTGACCTAAAGAAAAAAAAAAGAAAAGGCTATGAATAAGATAGGAAATAAATATGAAAAATTAAAAAGGGTAAATTTAACTAGGAAGGAATAAAATAAAATATAAAAAATTAAGGTTAAAAATGAAATAACGGTACAACACAAATTAGAATGAAGGGTAAATTTAACTGGGAAAAAATAAGATAAAATATATAAATTAAAGTTGAAAATAAAATAACTGTACAACAAAATACACAATACACAGTATAGAACTATATAAGAATGTATGAAGAAATATAAATATATATATACAATAACAGCAGCTGTACAAGTATTAACTGGAAATGAAGAATATAGTGACCAGTGTTGTGCAATCCACATTATTTAGTGTCTTGTGCAGTGCAAATATGCTTAAAGTGATTTAAGTGATGAAGTGAAACCTTGAGTTTTGGCAGGCGCTTGATGGTCTTCAGAGGCCTGAGAACTCGAAGAACCCTCAATGACTTGATAGTGCTGATGTCCTTGCCTTTGGTTCCCCTATGAACAGCAAATATGTTTAGACCACACAAAAATGTATCCACAAACAATATGCAGTTAATGTAATCTTTGTCAATATTACTAACAAAAGCCATATCTGAAATTAGACCGTATGTTGTAACAGGGTTTGATTGTGGTAGGATGTGAATGAGGTGTGTTTAGATCAGCTGGGTGACAGAGAGATGCAACAATAGCCTTTCTGGATATGAAGAAAACATTGAAATATTTTTATGAAAGTCTATTAAGCTCGATGCATGATGGTCAAGAAGTACAGATCAGCGTAGACCATAAACTATGTGGCGGTGTTGTACTGGGTGGGCATCTGTGATAACAGGGTGAATGCTCATACATTAGACTCAGAGTTGTCTGCAAATCAGAGTGCCTGAAGGGGATTGTGGAGCAGGAGGAGATGAAACTTAACAACCAGGGAAATCTGGCAACTAGCCCCCTGCATATTACCCTCAAACTTATTATGATTATACAGTTTTTAAAAAACTTTAAACTCCATAATTTAATAATCAATATTAACCCTTTAATATATAAAAAAAAGAAACTGAACAGTTTTGATTCTTATATACTGAGACATGGGCTTATACATGAAGGTATGACTTCTAACAGACCACTGGATAATTTTTTTTTCACTGCAAGAGTCAGAGAACATTCAGTGCTTGATGACAAGATGAATATCAGTGCCATGCTTGTAAATGCAGTGCTGCTGTCAGGACACATTCCAAGAAAGTTGGTGAGCGTCTAATCGAAGAAACAAAGAGCCACTGTCCTGGCAAAGTAACATGACATATCTTAAAAGCTTCAACCACACTGGAAGTCACGTGGTCACCAGAGACCATAAAAAGTGAATGCCATTTGACAACTTTAAGTGACTACAGGCAAAATGACTGCTGAATACTAGCTACTTCAATGTCATTTATATAGCACTAAATCATAACAGCTCTTTATATTTAAGGTAAAGACCCCTACAAAAATAGAGAGAATACTCAAACAATCAGACAACCCACTATGACCAAGCACTTGGAAAGCAAAATCTCCCTATTAACTGGAAGAAACCTCCAGCAGAACTAGGCTCAGGGAAGGTCAGCCAAGAGAGACAGGACAAAAAGTGTATGCAAAATTTGATGCAAAGTGTGAAAACACACAGAGTAAAAACAGGTGAAAAAGATGCAGCCAGTACATCATCATCATAAGCTTAATCTTAAAGATAGAGAGATCGTCTGTCTCCCAAATCAAAACTGGGGACTAGCTCTAGTGGGGCGATCGTGGCTCAAGAGTTAGGTGTTCGTCTTGAAATCGGAAGGTTGTCGGTTCGAGCCCGGCTCCGGCAGTCTCGGTTGTTGTGTCCTTGGGCAAGACACTTCACCCGTTGCCTACTGGTGGTGGGGTGGCTGTAGCTCAGGTGGTAGAGCAGGTCATCTACTGATCGGAAGGTTGGTGGTTCGATTAGTCTGCATGCCAAATATCCTTGGGCAAGATACTAACCCCAAATTGCTCTCCGATGCATCCATCGGAGTATGAATGTGTGTGAATGTTAGCTATTAGAAAAATGTGCTTGTGAATGGGTGAATGCACACGTTGTGTAAAGCGCTTTGAGTGCTCAGATGAGTAGAAAAGCGTTATATAAGAACCAGTCCATTTACCAGAGGGTGGCGCCAGTGTCCAGAGCGCCCCAGGGCGGCTGTGGCTACACTGTAGCTTGCCATCACCAGTGTGTGAAAGGGTGGATGATTGTGTATAGTGTAAAGCGCTTTGGGGTCCTTAGGACCAAGTAAAGCGCTATACAAATACAGACCATTTACCATTTACTCTACAGAAGAGGGGCCTGAAAGCTGAAGACTCTGCCTACTATTCTATTTTTAAACACCTTAGAAACCACAATTAAAATCAAAATTTCATGATATGGTACTATGACGTCTTAAAGATGAGATGGGGCCTTGAGGCAAATGTTGTTGTGATTTATTTACTATATAAATAAAACTGATATGAAATTGAATTGAATTTTTCAAGACGTTGCATATGACAAGAAGAATTTTAAATTTATTCAAATCACTTTTATTGTCACATCACATGTGCTCGTACACTGGTACAGCACATGCGAGTATAATTCTTGTGTGCAAGCTTCACAAGCAACAGAGGTGTGCAAAACACAATAGCATAAGAACAAAGCAAAATATAAGAATAGGAATCTGAGAATTATAAGAATAAATATATGTACAAATATAAGAATGTATGCGCATTACTGAATAAGTATGTCAAATATGTATATATACATATACATATATATATATATACATATATATACATACATATACATATATATACATACATATATATATATGAATAC